GAACATGATGTCTAAACAAGGCAAGAAATACTCCCTCCAAGTGTCAGCTGGCTTGTCACAGTTAAAAAAACTACTACTTAATCCTAATTTTAAATAAGACATGTTCTATTTCAACTTGGTGGCATGCTGCTTTTTAATCCTAAATTTAAATGAGCTGTGTTCTGTTTAAACTTAGGGACAAATTTTCAGGCAGTGCAGGGCTTTGGATTTTGGAACTGCCTTTCCTTTCAGTCCCTTTCCAGCTCGTGGCTGTGTCACCTCTTATTGACAGAGCAGAGTCACTGTAACATTATTATTTTTCACATTTGAAGTGAAAAGGGGCAAAAGAGAGGCATTTCAACTCCAAACTTAACAGCAGCTCCTAAATACTGCAGCACACATGCAGCTATCAGGTTATCACAGGACATGTGATACATGTCCCCATACAGAAAAATGAGTTTTCTTGGAGCTAGAGCAGCCCTTCTTCCTCACACAAATTCTGCTGAACAGGACAGACTCAGGAAAACAACTTTTCTATTTTTCAGCTAGCACCTAATGGGGAAAATGTTGTATATCATCTTTCCACCTTTGGACTCTCCTTGGAATTTTCTACAGAGTGAAAAAACCTGAAAGCAGTGTGTTTCTTCTGATTCATCATACCTGGAGTTTTACTGGGATAATATAATAATATAAACCTTGCTGTGTTCAGTGCTTCCCTTCCCAAGCAAGGCTGTGATTTTATCAGTGAGGAAGAGCACAGCATTTGCAGGGTATGGATCCATGCGCACGCTGGCACTGAGCTGGGTTTGAACCTTGGCCTCCTACGACATCAATATCGCTTTCATTGATCTCTGGGTCACCCAGATGAGGACCAGAGTGAGTAAATATTTCACTCTTACAACAACTTCCATTCATCTGCTTATACTTCAGGCGTGGAAATCTGCTGACAGAGAATTCTTTAAGTGTTAGCCACAATTCTCAAAAGCAACTGGCCTTTTGGGAAAGCTGAGTCTTGTGTGCTGAGTTTGGAGCTCCTTGACAGGATGAGAATTTCAAAGGGCAGCTCTGCACACTCTGAAACTCTTGGGTTTTTCTTTTATCAGGCCAGATATTAAACAGGTTTGGTCATGGCAAAGCTGTTATAGATATAGAAAGCAGAATATAGAAACAAACAGCGCCCAGAAGGTGATCCATAAAGCATTACATTATCTGGCAGGGCAACTGTTCCTCTTATTTCCTTCAGAATTCCTCAACAAAACACTTCCATGGCTTTAAAGGAATTACACAGAATTAGTACAATGAATAAAGACCAGGTTTTCAAATGTATTTGAGCAACTCCAATTTCTCAGGTGCTTTGAAAATTCTTACTGTGTAAGACCTGTGTACTTATTTAGATCTTGAAATTGCTAAGAATCTTAGGAAATCTCTTTTGAGTGTTGCAGGACCTGCATTACTCCTCTGAACATCACAAAGATCACAAAGAGACCTACAAAAATAACGGATGTTTTCCAGGAAAAAAATTAAGCCCAAAAGCTACCTTTAAACAGAAAGTGTCCCTGGTGCAGAGGGTCAGGTTGGCACCCACAGAGTTAAACTGACTAAGTCTACAACAAAGGAAAAAATATTAGCATTGCTATCTGTGTAAACGACATTAGTAGCAAGACTGAATTATCTTCTGAATTATTTTATTCCAATTATATTTTGATATAATTCAAGGTCTAGTGATTTTTTTAATGTTTGCAGTCCCCCAGTTTAATACCAGAAAAGCAATCAGTCATTTGCTTCTCAGACACCAAGTGGCTGGAATAGTTTTTCCATCCATTTGGAAAATATACAATCTGTATTTGCCTTTAAGTATACATTAGATGACTACTGTAAGTGATTCATAATTGTTTTTAAATAGTTGAACTTATTTTAATATGTATTTGCAGTTATATAGTTATTTAAATGTTCATGTTATCAGCAGTTTTTTGTATTAACAAATTGTTCATTCATCTTTTGGTTTTCTAAAAAGGGTGAATAGGAAAAAGATTAAAATGTGCTTTATTAGAGCACATTTTATTATGTTGCTTATTAAAAATCTCCTCTGTAACAACTGGTACTATAAAAAGCAGAGAAGATACCTATAAAAATATTCAAAATTATCCATTTGGAAGCCCAACACTCCTTGTGTCTGGAAAGACAATACAGGGACCAGCTCAAGATCTAGGTTTTTTAGTTCAGTTTTCTGAGTGCTCCGAAGTTCCTCTTGATACAAGGGCACATTTGTTCTCCTAAAGGTATGATTTTAAACCAGCTTAATTCAGCACTGAACAGTGTCTCATTTCCAAGGGTTTGTGCTGCACATCCTGCCCCAAGTGCAGCTCTAAGCAATGGAAGGATTTCAGTGTCAACCAGAGAGCTCAGAACAGAGGCTCAGCCTAGAAAAACCCCATGTCAAGGCTCAGCCACCCAACTCAGCATGTTCCTGCTCCTGAGTTTCAGTAAAAGTGAAACTGCTGGGAAGGGAAATCCTAAACACAAACAAGACAATCTAACAAACATTTCTCATTCCTCAGGTCTGCATAACTATCCTCCAAGAGCAACCCTTTCATTGTCAAAACAATCTTTGATCCAAACTAAAATTAAAAAGCAACTCACAAACTTACTATGCAATAAAAATGTTGAATTATTCCATTCTGGAATTGCTTAAATGTGTCCAAGCAGCAAATGGTCCAGGATAAGAGACAGCCTGGCTGCTCCAGTAGGTCCAGGCACCTGATCCCTATTGCTTCATGCAGTGAGTATTGGAAGAGACTCTGGAAAGAGCAGCCTGATGCAGACAGAGTGGGATTTTGGGAAGGCCACGCATTTTTTTTCTTACTGCTGTGAAGAAGCCCAAGCTCATTGACTCGCAGAAGCCTTCCACACTCTTATTTATTATCCTCAGCATTTGGAAATGGAAGTGGTTTTGTGGGATCAAACATAGGTCATTACTGCCTAACAGCCATTTGTTAGTCTATACAAACTGAATTTGGTACTTCCACGTCTGACTCCTAATGGATGTTTGCCATTATTATTTATCAGAGCAGCACACCTGACAACACTTTTAATGCCTTTCTCAGAAGAGAAATGAGGGCTGAATGGACCAGAGGAGGGAACTCTTTCAATCTGAGTGCTGGTTTCTCCAGCAAGGGCTGGAGGCCTCTCAGCCAGGCAATGGGGGAAATGGGCCTCTGGTCTGCCAGCTTTGTAAGAAAAATTGTTTAAGCTTATCTTAACATATGAGGAGAAAGTGGGCAAGGCTGCACTGGGGGTCAGTCTGTACATTTATACAACACAAGCCCCCCTCTCCAGGTTCGTTTTCACAGTTGCCTTGACACCTGTCTACAGCTCTGCAATTATTCATTTTGTCTTGTGCCTTCCTTCATCCCCAGGAAATGTTTCCATCTGACCTCATATGCATACCCTTGATCCCCAAGCTGATTTCAGACATGACCTTCTGCAGAATTCCAGGGAATATGTGGGGATAAAGGCACCCCAAAGGGCACTCACATAAGCACCTCCAAACTGATAACCATCACTTGCAGTAGCAATTCGAGGTACCAATTATCCATTTTCTTGGTTCCTTTTCCTCATGTACTTCAGTAATGGAGTTGGAAGAGAAGCTGGCTCCAGCAAACCCATGGTATATTAAAAATTCCTTCTATTTTGGACAGGTCAAAGTATGGCCCCCCAAGCCAGTAAAACACAGCCAAAGAGAAGAACTACACAACAAGCTGCAGAGTTCATTACTCTCACTACTTCAACTATTGACTAATTTTGATTAAAATCTACACCTAATTGTCTTTTAACATTTAGCAAGCATGCATTTATCTAAATCTTACAAGATCAGATGACACTGGATATGATCATCTGAAGCATACTTTTATTTTCAGCTCATTTTTGAAGCTCCCATAATTTTGTAAAGAAGCAGTTTGGAACAGAGGGCCCTCCCAGGAATGTGTGCATAGGCCCCTGCCCATAAAATCTCCTTCCCTTCCAGGCTTGAAGAGCTGACCAAACATGTGCCCTTCCCTGCTTCTCAGCACACAGTGGATAAGGAGCAAGCTGCTGGCTGAACACATGGGAATAACCCTGACCCAAACCAAAGGTTTTCTGCCTGGAAGCAGAACTGTGTGAACAGTCATATTTTTATTATTTTCTGCTCTGTGCCTGTTTTGGGAAAACAGGTATTTTTCTAAAGCTACAGAGTGCTAGGAGCCACTAGGAAAACAAAAATCAGAATACAGCAACAGCAAAACATTAAAATGGGGGAAGAATTCCCAAAATTAGGAATAAAGTCTGAAAAAAAGTTACAGTAAATTTTCTTTTGAAATGTGTAACGTGGCAATTTAATTGAAGCATCTCTATTTAAAAATCTCCCCTTAAAGTCTGTTGGTATTTTAAATTTTGGCCAGCCTAAATTCTTCTCTTAGATGGAACTCCCTTGGACTGCAGCTTGAGCAGGACATTTCCACTTCTGGTAGGATTAACAGCACACTAATAAGGCAAAACTGCTCCTTTTATTGTGATGACTAAAATTCCTCTGTAGCCAACAGCCCAACAATACTGGCATGTGGCTTAGACATTTGTTGATTGAATACTGTATGTTGTCCTGGAGGCTTGAATACAAACAGGAAAAATTTTAGAAATATGTTGTTATCACAGCAAGTGAAAGGCTTGGTTAGGAAATGAAGTATTTAGTAAAAAAAGGTTATTATGGGTCTGCCATCTATCAGGTTAAAAGTCTAAGCAAGGCATGCATTCTGTTTACACACAAATACATTATTGATTTCTAGCAGTTCATTCATTTGCATAAAAAATCTGTATCTAAATAGGATCTTCAGTTCTAAGCCATATGTACTAAGAGCTTGACAGACTAAATAGTATTTAAAAGCGTATTCCTTACATACGGCAAAATGGAAAATATTGAAGTTCTGCACCGCAGAAAACAGAAGATTTTTAACAATGCATAGGAAAACGCATCTGTTAGATTTTACCTGTTCTCGAGGCACCAGAGCTGCACACTTGAAATGCATCTCCTTTCAACAGCTTTGTAGATTTTGTATCATAATATCACTTCAGACATTTGTTTGAAGGCAAACAGCAACTCTGTTTTAGAAGCAAAGCCATTTAAATCCCATCCAGTCCCAGATTTTTGCATCCAATTCCTACTGCGATGCCTGCAAGTTTCCCTGGTACAGAACAAAACAATGCTGCTCTACAGACAGACATGTACAGAAAACTTTAGGAAAACGTTCTAAGGTAAACAAATGAGGTTAAAGAGAACAGCAATAGAGACACCCTCAAGATTTATTTATTCAAAACAATAGTTTATCATCTGTTCCTACTTCTGAGCCACATATGTGCACACTCCAGAGTGAGCAGAGGGGACGGCAAAACACAGTTGCTGCAGTTTGCTCTTGGCTTCAGGAGACCTCTGAAGTTTCCATCCTGGAGACAGCATAAACACAAAAATCACAGAGAGGCGCCAGGTTCAGAGCTGAGGTCTCCTCACTACTGACTTATTCTTGGCCCTTCCCCTCCTGGCTTTTATTAATCTGAGGATTCCTGAACTTAATCTTTGAAACTTCATTTCAGTGAATGTAATGCAATTTCCCTCTTTCTCCTTTTGCTCTATCTCTTAAAATCTTTTGCAAATATTCTACAATATGCTACAAATATGACACCAAAATGAGGGGTGGCACAGCCAGCCTGCCTTTGGAATACACAGGGATCCTTGTGACACGGATCCTTGTGACAAAGTCTGTATCAGAGAGAGACAAAATAAACATTGCTGGGAACAGCACTGGGTAGGGACTCATTTTAAACTGGAATGAAGAAAGTTGCAAAGAAGAGGAGCTGAAATAAATTAAAAATGCAAAGTCATTGGGAGATCCCAGAGTGTGCAGCCTTTCTGAAATTAAACTACATTTGCAGACATCTGAAAAGTCTTAGCAAAATAAATGTCCCCCAGAACCTGGAAAAACTGTCCTTTGGTAACCCAACTATGCCACCAGCAGCTCATTGCAAACAGCTGAAGAAGTGAGCTCCACTGCAGAAATGAAGCAGCTGTTTACCTGCAATGAAAGGCAAAGCTGTTGTTTTGATCTATGAGAGTGGCTGAGAAGAACAGATTGTGCTAGAGCTGGGATAAACCCTCAGCAAACTCACTCTCACTCACATCCCCGTGTCAGCTGAGCCCGAGCCACTCCAGTGGAATGGGAACGTACAAATGTGAGTGGCACCCAGATATTAGTCAGAATTCCACAGTCTCACTCTACCCTCCTAGGAGGAGAAAGAAACACTCACTACTCAGAAAGAAAGAAAGAAGCTGACCCCACTCAAGGACCTTCAGGTCCATCCCTGCAAGATTCCTCAAGCAAATCAAGAAAACCTTTATGGATACTTTAGCAGTATTGATCTAGAGATCAGCTGCCTTAGATAATAATGCTGTGACTGTACCAGAGCCAGACCTACACCCAGAGATTTGCAGTGAGAAAAAGACACAAGAGTTCATTCACACAGAGCCACTGTAAAGCTTGAATATGAAAGAATAAAATAAATCTAAAACTCTCACTGTAACCTTCCAGAAATAAATATTCAGAGGGTTCTTTGGCTTTCTATGCCACAAAACTATCATTAATTTCAAACATACCATTCTGTTCAGTGCCACTTAAGCCCCCACTACTGACAAGCCTAGTATTATTTCAAATATTTAAACACTGGGATTTTTAAACAAATCCATTGAATTTCACTGGAATTTGGGCACTCATATTCTTTAATCTGCTTTCAATGTATCAGTCATAGCTCCTTAATATTTAAACATTTTCTGTCATTTATTAACTCCTGAAATACTTAGATATAAGAGAGAAAAAAAAAAGAGATAAAGAACAAGCCCATCCAGCAGGTTTTAGATGACCACACAGGCCAGTGTGTAAGAGCAAGCACATGAGTTCCTGTTTAGGACTGATCATATTATCGACTTTGGAAGGATTTACAGGTCTCAGCTGCTCGTGTTTCTGTACCACACTACATTACATTTATGTGTACCATTGCCCTCTACAGGATGGAATTCGGGATTTATCTAAGTGTTACAGTTATTTTGCTTTCTAGGAGCTCACAAAGCAGCACGTATTTAATTCCAGAAGTGGAAGACTGTAATTTTATCACAGAAGGTTCTAGATTTCAGATCAGATAAAATATTCTGTGATATGAAGAACCAACCATGAATGGAGAGTACTGTGTACACTGTGTACTGATCAGCTGCACCAGTAAGTACAAAATCACATTCAGAATCATCCCTTCAAAGCACAAATGTGATTGTAAATATAAACACAGAAAGCACCTTTACCTCCCAATAATGGCTTTTTTTCTATTATCAGTATTTTATACAGCACATGTGCAATAAACACTCTTGAATATCTAGATTATTTAAAAATATCTTACATTGGAAAAATATGAAATGTGAAAAGCATTTAAAATAGACAAGAAAAACCCTGCAAATTCTGCTCTAGCATTCTGAGAGCACAGTTCTATCATTTTATTTCACCGTTATTTGCATTTACAAAACCACAGCAGCAGTTCTGTTACAGAAAAAGAAGATGGTTAACTTTTACATGATATTACTTACATAATAAGCCTGTATTTTCACTGAAAATCTGGCCTCTGGGCACACTTAGAATACTGGAAAAGGTTCATGATGTAAACAAAACCCGAGCTATGTTTATAAGTACGAATGGACACTGAATGAGATCTCAGTAGAGCAAGTGAGAAATTTGGGGACTAATTTAGAAAAGGGCAAAATTCTCATGGAATTCCCATCTGAAATTTCAGTCTTCACAAAGTATTTATCTGTGAACTTTAAAGTGCACAAAAATGAGTTTCAGCAGAAACACCGAGATCATCTCAATTTCCATCATTATCAGAGCTCTCACATCTCCAGTTTCATGTAATTTTCAGATTTCAAATTAAATCAAGAGATTTTTATAAAGACAGACCAAGAGGCCACTGCTTCAGATTAGTTGTTAACAAGGTTCCCTTCATTTAGAAAGTAAACTTCATTGTGTAAATCTCATGCATAAAAAAAAAATTGAACGGATACAGGTAGGCCTTCTAACACAGGATGAGAAATCCTTATCAAGGCTTTTACCTGTGTCAGTTGTAAATAGAACTTTTAAAATCATTATTCATCTTCCTTTTTGTTAATTACAGAAAAGGAGAAATATTCTTTATGGAAAGAAAAGTTCTTTTAAAAAGACATTTAGAAAAGCATTGAACAAGACATTAATAACAAACTGAAAGGATAAGCAGAATGGAAGTCTGAAAAATTCTATATTTGTATTATACAGGCATTGTTTTCATTCTTGGCACCTTATTTTTCATGTACATAAAGAGAGCACAAGCTACAGCAGGGTGAGACAAAGATCAATGCTGAATGTATTACTTGGCATTGGTCAGACTCAGTTTAATAAGAAAAGAATTGATCCATTAAGCTAAACCTAATTCTTGGCCGAAAATGGTTGAAATCTCTTCTTTATACTGCTAGCATCATAAAGACCTATAATATTCAGAAGAAACAACTCAGAGTTGAGTTTAATAAGATTAAATGTATTGCAAATATACTTAACAAGAATCTATCAAGTTGTTAATGATTACTATTAATATCAAACAATTTTTGTATAGAATTTTTTATTAGAGTGATTGTAAAATATAACCATGTGAAATACAATATAAAAAGGGGTTTAGGTAATTTGTAACAGCTACAGTTGTTGAACCAAAACCTTAACCTATAAGATATAGTAATTTATTTTATCAATCCAGTTTCTCATACAAGTGCAATTCAATTTGTAAAGTATTTAAGTGCCAGTCATTAACACTGTATAGCAAAGTGCAGAAGGACAGCATCTACTATATGTGATTGTGTTATTCTGTGTGAAGAGACTGCAAAATAAATTACTTTTCCTGTCAGCAAGGCTGGAGCCCTATTGTTAAAACAACTTCAAATTTCTATGAACTGCTCGACAAAGCCCCGTTCCGTGGCTCCGACAGCTAAAAGCAGCCTTGGTGCTGTGGGGACGCCCTGTGCTGCCAAAGGGACACAGTGACAGCCACTCCTCCCCTGGAAAGCAGGGGTGCAGCAGCAGAGCCACCCCAAAGCCTCTGGGAGGGTCTGTCCTGCACGGCACGGCTGGGATGCGCCAGCCAGGAGAATCCCCACCTTGGGAATACATAAAGGAAAAAGAGCAGGAATTCTGCAGCTTCACCTGGCGCTTCAGCAGAAGAGGACAGACCTGGAATTTATTCGGCAGTGCTTACAATCCAGTTACAGTTTTAATTAAGATGACAATGTGGCAAAAGTATAGACACACAAAAATCAAACCTCTGAATTCAGCAAAGAGAATTACTGAAAGAGCGGGTAAGAGTGGATGGAAAACAGCACTGGAGGAAAAGACAGGGAAGGAAATGGAAAGTACTGAAAGTCAATTATTATGTGCCCAAAGGTGAGATGTGCTGTCTGGCATCAGAACCTTCTGTGGTAAAATATATAGAGAACGAAGAGAAAAATGAAAGAAAATTAATTTATGAAAAAGGCATATTTAAGGTGCAAAAATAAAGACAGGCAAGACAACTAGAAAGATTATAGCATGGAATTAAGAGACTGACACACTGATAAAGAAAGCAAAGGGGGAAAATGAAAGGAAAAGTTCACATAAGGCAAGGAAATTGTAAATAAAGATTTTTTTTTCTTTTCAAGCACATAAAGAGCATAAGGTCACTGAGAGAAACAGAAGCACACCTATGAAATGGCAAATGGCAGTTTGCTAACAGGAAAGAGAGACTGCTTAAAAATGAACTCTCTATTTTATTGTACATAAAACAAGGTTGGGACTGATGACAGGACCAGACATAAATTTCCTGGGGGAGGAAGAATAAACACCAAAGAAAATCAGTACCACACCAGAACAGCTCATCAAGAAATTAGAAAGTCTGAAGGTTGACATAACTCCAGGAATAGACAGAATTAATTCAGAGCTCAGAAAGATATGTCAGAAGAGATAGAGAAATCATTAGCAGATATATTTAACACCTGGTCAGAATATGAACTGGACTCAGGAGAGGTTAGTGATAACCACTATCTAGAAAAATACAAACCCCAGACTTCACAACCATGTCAGACT